ACCTGTCCCTCGTGCCACCTCCCAGGCCTCATCCAAGCCACCTTTCGTCATGGTGAATGTGCCTGCTGCATTTCAGCCATCCTTTCCATTCTTCACCGTCCGTCCATGGCTGGTTTCCCCAGCGCCCGGCTGTGTCACAGCATGCCTCTCCAGCACACGTCCTCCTTTCAGCCCTAAAATGTCATTCCTCTTACGTTTGGCATTTTAGACTGAAGTTCAGCTGAGTGATTGTGGTTTCACAGACTGTTTGATTCCAGATGAACTTCAGAAGGGGAAAGAATCAATGCCATTTTTAAATGACCTTATTAGCAATTTTCTCATTTCATTTGAAGCTGAGCTGTAAGCACTAAGCCAATGTACATCCTGTATGGTCCTTGCTAGAGCATGAAAATACCAGAAAAAAGTGATTGTAATATAAATGTCTACAAGGCTCATGGTTTTAAAAGCCAGCCACGAGCTGAAGAGGGAACTCCAAGTGCCAGTTTGGAGATTTTTACATGTCAGCATTCAGGAAACAGTGGGAGGAGAAAAATGACAGCTCTGCAAGACGAACAAAGGAGGGCATCTGATATCACTACAAATTAAGTGGTGGTCTGAGATGGTAGGTGTGGGGGTTTTCTGCTGACTAGCATCCCTTTTTATAACAGGTATCCTAGTGAATATCATTTTATCCAACTGAGGTTCCTCTTCTACATACTGCTGTCAGAAGGTCTTGGAGGTGGGTGATACTCACAGGCTAAGAAACCCTGGAGGAAAAATGCATCTGTTTTTGTAGGCTGATGGTTTTCATGCTTTCCTCGAGACAATTACATGTTCAAAGTCTCTAATGAGTGTCTGTCACTGTTAGAATATGCAGATTACTACTGAAAAACTGGACAGAAAAAGGAGTTGTTTTGTGGGTTGGTTCCTCTGCCACAGAAGCCAGTAGAAGCTGTATAGCTGTGCTTTCTGACCATCAAGCATAGTCTGGTGCTGCAAGTGTTCCCAGAAGAGCAAGGTTCAGCTTGCTGACCCGCTCTTGGCCTTGGCTGAGTCCCTCTGTACCTTCATCTGTTAAGTAGGGATGATGATACCCACTTCATCATAAAATTAGATGTTTTTCAGTAAGCATTTGATACACTGCCATGTGGGAAGCATATTAAGTAGGCTGATGTAGATGCAAATTAGCTGAAGAAAGCGGAAGTAGCTGGCATCTATAGATGTGGCAGTGCAGAGCGTGGACAGAAGACTTATCAGATATGTGGCTACCAGAGCGTCTCATGGATCTGTCTCTGGAGCTGGTCTTGTTTAACATTTTTATTAATGGCAATGGGTCAGGCTCTGCAAGCCTGATGGTGACATTTATCGATGACTCCAGGTTGGGTAGCATCATTAACTTAGGGGAATAGCATTAGGCCCACTAGCTCTACCCCCAAGGACAGGCTGGTTATCTGCTGGCGGTGTTGGACCCATGCAAAAGCCACAGGTGTTACTAAGCAAACTGCCTTCAGCAGAAAGAAGCAAGTACTAGTGTTGGTGTGCAAGGCTCTGGAGTACAAATGTAGTTTAATTAAAGACCTTCTTAAAGACAGATTGATGAGTTTGCCTGTGTGGTTCCAGCTGTCTCTACCATGGGAGTAAAAAATGGTATCCAGCATGAATGATACAAAGAGGCAAGTTGAGCTTTAGCTGTAGCACCTGCTTAGTTATTATTCCTTCCTTACTCCCATCTTCCCAAGAGAGGTGTCCTGGTTTCGGCTGGGCTAGAGTTAATTTCCTTCCTAGTAGCTGGTACAGTGCTGTGTTTTGTATTGCATGAAAATAATGTTGACAACACACCGATGCTTTAGTTGTTGCTGGGTAGTGCTTACACTAGTCAAGGACTTTTCAGCTTCCCATGCTCTACCAACTGAGAAGGCTGGAGAGGGGGGCACAGCCAAACTGGCCAAAGGGACATTCCACACCATGTGACGTCATGCTCAGTACATAAACTGGGGGGAGTTGGCCGGGGGGGCCGCTGCTCGGGGCCTGGCTGGGCATCGGTCAGCGGGTGGTGAGCGATTGCACTGTGCACCACTTGCTTTGT